ATATTTATTTTTTAACAAAGAAAGCTATTGATTTCAAAGGTAAATTAACAAAATATAAATTTTCAAACATATGTTATCATTAATTTGCTACCATTTATCTACATAATCTAATGCATCTTGTAAATTGGATGCAATTTTGGTTCAACTTTTTTCTTACTTAAAGATGTGTAAATTCAAATTAATTAAAATATAAAACACATGTATGTCATACACACACTCCTAGACAAAAGTTTCGGGTAACTGAATCCAACTTTGACCAATTGTTGTATGCATTCAATGAAATCAATCGTAGTTGGATAATTACACACTTCATTTTTATAATTTGGATAGAATATAATTAGTAAAGAACCCTGGTAATACTAAATTATTGACATATTTACTTACATATATAATGATAGCCAATTTGTTTCCAGGATTCTACTAGTTCAGATAAATTAATATTGCTCTTGCAATTATGTTCAATTGCTTGTTGTTCTCAAAACCGTCCTTGGCTGGATACTCTTTACAATTAAGTATTTGCATTTCCATTTAGTGATCAATTGAGTCTTCAAATGGGATCATTGGCTTGGGAAAAGGTATGAATTTTTTATTTAATATAAATTCCTTTATTTTTTCAAATAATTTTTTTTGGAGCCAAGTCTATGGCTAACAGACCCCTTGTCAAAAAATGAAATTTCATGGGAAGATTTTGCCATATTGTAATTTGGCTTCTTTTAACAAAGCTATAAATACTGCTCTGTAATATTCGAGATCCAAGGATTTCTATAATATTTTTGAGAAACTTCAGATATTTCTTGATCCATGTCATTATTATTGCTGTTTTTTTGTTAACATTGATGTCATCTTGTATTTTTAGTTTCAATTAGTATTAAACTATCATCCATTTTTACGAATTGTAATAATAGTCATTGCATGAGATATCTAGAAAATCACATATTCTCTTATAATATCAACTAGTTTTAATGAAATAAAGTTATGACTGTAGTAAGTTGCATAAAAAAATGAATGTGCTTTGCCGTGGTTTTTAATTAACCAATTTGCTCTTGTTTCAGGGTCTTTTGATATTTTATCAGTTAAAATGAGTGAAAATAAAAAGACCTATTATAAACATATTCTCATTCCTTATTATTTATTATTTATTTACATGGGACAGGAATTATATATCATAAAACTGCAGTGAAGAAAGAAGAACATCTAAAGAAGTGACAAAATTGTGTAATTAAATCATCCAACTAATTAATTCATTGACTGGTTTATCAATCATTTGCTAAAAATTATTTCTTTAAAAACTTCTGCATCATTCATCCATCTAATATACAGATTTATTAAAGGATACCTCGTAGAGCAATTTTTGATATTTATTTTTTTTTCGTCCAATTAAATTGTTTTTATTTATTTATTTATATACTTGTGTAATTGTCCTTTGACCCTTAAAAAATTTAATATAGAAATTTAACCACCAAGAATCTTTCTTTTTCTTTCCCTGCATCAACCTTCTTGGTTTAATTCGCGGTCTTCTACAGAATTGATGTAAGATGGTGAACATTCAATGGGTTCATATGTCTTATATTAAGCACCATAAATAACTAACAAATAACTTATAATAAGAAAAAAAATTATTTTTGTAAATATTTTTAATTTGCAAATATTGGATCATTTTCTTCTATTATTTATTTCCAACCTTCTCATTGTTTTTGTTAATGATTAGTAGGGATCTTCTTTAGTACGAACTAAAATATTTCTTGCCTGGTTAAAATTTTCTTGATTTGAAGATCCTGCTAACTTCATATCTTCAATACTAAGATAATAACAATTTATTTATTTTAATAAGTGAATATTTGTTATGAGAATAGTCTCCTAAAACAAACAAATAAATTTTAAATCGTCCTTACAATTGATTCGCTTGTTGTTGTTGTAAACTAATATTAGTATGATAAACAGTAGTAGGTATTAAAAGTAGAGTGTCAATAGTAGTAGCAATAAAATATTATCAATAATGAGATAAACAGTAGTAGGTATTAAAATTAGAGTGTCAATAGTAGTAGCAATAAAATATTATCAATAATGAGATAAACAAAATTTATCTTAACTTAATTGCCTACCTTTCTTGATAGTGTAGCAGCTACTTCTCGATAATCATCACTTAATCCAAGTATTGGTCTACTCCACTTTTCTACAAGTTGAGTAGCTAATTGTCTTATAGTTTCTGGACAACGTTTTGTCAATGTATAAAAATAAACAAATCTTCCAATTTTACTTGCGAATAAATGTTCAGTTGTAATAGGGTACTTTTAATTAAATTTTTTGGTTTAAAAAAAGAATATTTTTTTTACTAAATAAATTAATTATAATAAAAAAAATCAAGACAATTTATTATTATACATACTTTATCAAGCAGACTCAAAAGTTCAATTATTAATGTGATACTTGGTAGTGACCTACCAGGTAAAGGTTCCAGCCAATACTTAATTGCAACCAAGATATTGTGTTCAAGTAGTGCTTCTGTAAGGTATGTTTTGGATAATTGTGCTACCACATCTTCCAAAAGGTCTGTTTTTTTAATACATGGTTGTTTACTTTCAATTCCTTTGACATCATTGTCAGCAGCTTGGAACACAACTTTATATATATTGACAGCTTCATAATCATTCAACACATCCAAATTGATATCTTTTTCTTTTGATTTTTTGCTGCTTCGTCTCTTTGGAAGAAATTCTGCAAAATCTTGATCAACGATCTGGAAAAAGCGCCAATTCAGGATTTTTGGGTATAACCTCTTCATTTTCATTGATTTTATCAATATCATGATCTTTTATTTGAGTTTTTCCTTTTTGATCAGTTTTTTTTCGTCGTGCAGATCTTGTTGTTTGTCCACTACTACTAATGCTAGCATTACTTTCAGCAGGTATTTTTTGTTTTTTCTTGCTTTTCATCGGGTTGCTTTTATCAAAATAATCATTATCTGAACCATCTAAAACATCAGAGCCAAATTCTGAATAACTATCCATAACATCTGAAAGCTCTTCATCGTCGTCTTCGAATATATCTACTCCATTTTATCTAGATTTATTTAAAGTTACTGACCTCGAGGTTTTGCTAGGACGTGTAAATGATGGAATTGGCATTTTTCTTAATATTATTTGTTTAAATATTCAGTAATTATTAAAAAAAGAGGGAACATCGTGGAAAGTAGACATATTTGGTATTCAATTCATAGACTTTTTTATTTTATTGAACAATGATCGTTCAATATGTAAATTGTCTCTATACAGTCCAAGTAGGACCTCGGATAATTATATTTGAACTGATATCATCAAAATGAGTAGAAATTGGCTTTTTTTGAGAAACTGGTATGTAAAAATAGGGTAAAGCTAAAACAACTGGTGTGTAAAAATGGATATTGTAAAAAATAAGTAAACATATCGATCCCGTGAAAACACGGACGACTGGTAAAACATAGTAATAGTAATCTTTTATCCATCGTTTATTTTTTTTTTTGACTAATAAATCTATAAATAAATCTCTATCTCTTATTTCAAAAACAATTATTCAAATTATTAAATATTTTCTCTTATATACCCTTACTAGTTAATATATCTTTTTTTTTCAAAAAAAAAAAAAAAAGTCAAATTATCGACAAGCTGATAAATGATGGTTATTTCTTACGAGCCATTCTAGTTTATCTATAAATAAAATGTCAAATAGAAAGAAAAGAGAAAAGGAAGAGGAAGCTCAAAACAAGGGTGACTAGGTATTGATTGTTTTGAGAGCTACTCCACCTGTGTAGCAGACGCGTAAAACTTGATAAAGGTTTCTTTATTCATATTTTTTTATTCGCGTTCTATTCTATTATTTTAATCCAATTTCTAATAATCACACGTTCATTAATTTAAGGTATTATTAATATATTGAACAATTGTCTGATCCAGATTGGAAGTTGGCACTACAAAAAATTTTTAATCGGCAAAAATTAAGAGTTAACCGGTTAACTGGTTAATTTTAAATTTAGTATTAATATTAGAAATGGCTAATATTAACTGATAGTAATAGTACATGCACTATCCAATCTAATTAAAAAATCTTTCTTTATAATTCTACTTTTCCCTTGTAGTGATTATAATAATAGTAGTAGCAGAACTAAAATTTTCTTTCTTTTCTTTAATCAATGGTTGTAGTAATTGGTTTTTCCCCCTTTGTAGTGATAGTAATTTATTTACTTTTTCTACTAGCAAATAGTTCGTAATAAACAATCAATAACGTGACATGTATGTATTTTTCATGGTTGTTTTTCCTAAAAAATGAAAAAAGTCAAAATTATTCAAGATTAAAAAAAAACCTCGGATGAATATTCAATTAAATAAAAAATAAAATTTTTGGTAAATGTCCAGTAATAGATATAATACTATTACTAATTTCTTATAGTGTGAATCTTGTAATCCACAGTTATTAATTGAATGATGGACTATTAATAATGAAACAATAGATGAAATAATTAAAAAGTACACAATGTAAAGCAATAGAATATGATAATTTAGTTTATCTCCAACGGATTCCTTATAATGATATAAAAAATATTGGTAAAGGTAAATTTGCAACCATATATAAAGCTACATGGATGAAAGGTTGGAAATATACAAAAAATGCTGTAAAGATAGAATTGTTGCATTAAAAAAATTGCACATTTCAAATAATATTAAGTTTTCTTTATAAACACTATTAATTATTATTGTTAAATTAAATTAACACATGATTGTGATGCCCAATACCTAGCAGATGGAAGCCTTCAAGATTATTTATCAAAACAATTTAAAAATTTGGCATGGAAAAATAAGATAGAAATTCTTCATGGTATTATTCATTGTTTTAGAGCAGAAATATCATTCATCATAATTTTCATAGTGATAATATTCTACAAAGTGGTATATTAATATAGTATTTATTCGATTTGGGATTATCAATTCCAGTCTATCAAACAAACTTGATACAATTGGGGTATTAATGTCAGTAACTTCAACAGGACTACAATCATTCAATAATATTGTACATGACTTAAACCTTGCAATAAAAATATGTGAACAAGACCTGCATTCTCAAATAATACTCCAAAATTTTGCATTGAATTAGCATATAGATAAATTTCCAACAGCTAAAGGAATTAAAGATACTATTGAGTTTTGGCTTGATTCATTTAGTGGTTTTTTAATAATTTTAAGCATTATGAATACCATTTTAACCTTGTTTTTAATTAATTTAAAAGAATTAATGAAATTGATAAGATTAAGTCTTATCCTTCAAACAATTACTGCAACTGTTCATCCAAATGCTATTTATACAAGCAGAATGTTAAATTTTACAAAACTTCCACAGCTTGGAAGCTCCAATAAATTCACAATGATTGGAAATAATAATAGTAATCGACTAATATAAGTAAGGTTCACTTAATTAACTGTCAAGTATTACTAATTTATATTATAATAATCATATAGATTCTCATCAAATGGATTTGGATATTTAGACACTAGAGATATTAACCAATAAAACGAGCTTAAAACCCTTGTAACTTTTATTAAATAGATTTTGTATTTACTATTGATAAAAAAAGTTTATAATTAAACTTATTTACACTCCAAATTTTTTCTCTAACTTCCATTTCTTTTTTTTTTAATTATTAAATAGCCCACCTCAAAATTTCCATTTGAATTATTTTTTTGATAATGCTCACTGGTTAATGTCAAATATAAAGATATTTACATAATAAATTTGTAGCTGATAGTTTTGGCACACTAAACCCAATTGGTTTATTGACATCAACCAATCATCCTATTGGATGGATTGATCACGTGTTATATGTAAATAATTCTATTTATTGTATTAAAATGCAAAACTTTAAATAGAATGAAATTAAAATAAATGTAAATGTTGTGTTTCAAATTCATAAAAGGGAAATTTGAGTTTCACATGCAACATTTAACATTAATTAATTATATAATTTTTTGAAAATGATAATATCTTGCTGCAATAAAACCACTAGCAGAATCAGTGATCACTGCATTTATTTTTATATCATTTCTCTAACTTCATCTAACCAAGTTTCAATGTATTCATCGCACCCAATTTCTCTTTATCTTTCAGTTGAAATATTGTTACCACCCCAAACCAAACTTCTTCCTTCAGAAGCTATTGTTTAACAATATTTTTCCAGCCATCAAACCAATTTCAGAATTTCATCTTGCCTTACAACATTAAATAGTTATAGTGATTTACTTGGTAAAGTAATTCCAAGATTTATAAATCAATTACTTTCTGATCCTCTACCCAATTAAAAGACCATCTACATGAAATTGTTGCATGAAGAAGCAATTGACAAAAAGTATCTATACCTTCTTTAGATAGTTGCTTTGCATATTTTGTTTGGATATCAGCTTTTTGTTTCAATTTTGGAGTAATAGATTGCAAATCCCATATCACTGAATTAGAAATATTTTCTAATCTTGAAACACTTGAACCAGCACTTAATACACTTTTTGTATTTGTTGAAATACTTATTTTAAAAAACAAATTCTATAGATCTGCAACCTGCAGTCAACAAATCACTGGATCTGTCATTCGACCACGGTCGATGATTGATTACCAATCAAATTTGGTCCGTATTTTTTTCAATAAAAAGGATTCAGGTAAAATCGGCCAATAAATTAATACATTGATGAAAATATCAAATATGTAAAAATTCACTTTGTTTTTTCTTTGCAAAAAAATAATTAACAATTTATATACTTAAAATAACAGAAAACATACTTTATAAAATCTTTTTTTGTTTGCTTGTAAAGGTTATTTTCTTTTAATTATTTATGTATAATGTTCTTTTTTGTGGAATGAAAATAAAGGTTGAAAAAATTATATCTAGTACAATGATTTCTATTTTTAAACACTAAACAGCCAAAAAAAATTCAATAATGAAAAAAAATTATGTTTTAAAGTATTAATGTAGGTTTGCTATATATACCACAATTATAGAAGATTTCTTTAGACGTTTTTCTTCATTATTTTCTTTTGTTGACAATTTTGTTGTGTGGTAGCTCTTATTGTATGCATATAATGAATATTTGAAATTTTCTTGCCTCGAGAATAATTTGACTGTAGATAATTATTTGAGATAACTCAACAAATTTTTGACCAAATGATGTTATCTAAAATTCATAAGTAGGTAGAGGTTTAAAGTATATATATTTGATACATAAAAATAATGTTAGCTCAACATGTAAAATAAAGAATAACAATTTTTTGAAGTTACTATTAAATCTTTCCTTTAAAAAAAGGTAGCCAGTTCATGAACATAACCAAAAATTTATGTCTAAAGCACTTACAAGTAGAGGGTTTAATGTGTGTGTATACAAATTATGTATTATTCCAAAAGTCATTTTTCGTCATTTAAAATAGGCGAAGGAAAATTTTAAATTTTAATTCATGTTTATATTTTGTTTAAATTGTTTTATTGAAAACTCAGAGAAATATTCTCTTAGTTTAAAGGTTCATAATAAGAACACCTTCAGATACGAAAAACCATCTTCTGAATGGTTTGCTAATAATTAATAAATCAATAATTGTATATTAGTGAATTCTCTAGAGATTGGCTGGACAAAACTTTGAGTGTCATAATATTTGCAGAATAATTAAAAAGTATTAAATCATTCGTTTTGCCAGAAATTTTTCTCATAGAATTCTATTCGACTTTGCATACTAATACTAATACTCCCATAACACTAAGACCAAATCGTCCGTTTTCACACAATCAAAATCAAATTCTAACGCCCTTTCGCAAACATGTTTTTATCCACACTTGTTAAAAAAGAGTAAACAAAAAAAGGCGAGTTTGGAATTCTAGGACTATTTAAATAAGAAATTCATAATCAGTCTCCCTTGCTATTGTATCAGATAGCATATTATTATCTTTATTGTGTTATTTGGGATATAGATATACTAATAAATTTATTAACTCTTATTGCAATATTTTATTTATGATATATATATCCTCTTCATTATTAATCTCTTCGTCATCATTGACAGTTGATCATTCATCCTCTAAATTTAAAAAAAAATACTATTATTAGTGAACCAACCATCTCCTAAAATAACGGGATTTCAATATTCATGAATTGATAAAGAGATTACAACACAACATACAATAATTATCATCTAGCAATGAACTCAATGATTCCACATTCGATTCTGTCATTTGTCTTTATAAATTGTAAAAGAACATTATTTTTGATTAAAATAAAACTTTCAAAACAGGATGCAAACACCCGACTAGATAAAAAGACATCTTTGTTTCATCTCCACCCCTGATATTTTATTTTTGAACTATCCTCGAACTCATTAACTACTGATTCGAACCTGCGTTTTTTTCGGCAACTCTTTCTCTGCAGCATCATTCTAGTTTCACTACTACTCTTTATAATAATCCACTCAATACACTCACACAGGATAACCAAGTTGTTTTGACGATTTCCAACTTCTCCAACAGCTGAAATTACTGAATCTCTTTTTATTGCAGCCTTCACATTTGTGAACCTCTTGCTATTTTTGAATTTACAAAGAACTTTTGTACTATTTGCTCTTTCCGTGACACCATTATTGACATCTCTTTTTAGAGGAAAGATGCTCTCATTATCAACTGACTTCCAGGCGATGATGAAAAACTCCTAATGGTGGCGATCGTATATTGATAAAGTATTAGAAGTTGATGTAATATTTAAAGGAGTGCGTTCTATGTATGATTGTAAGCTTTGGAAAAAAGAAATGACATTAAAATAACTAAAACTAAAATAAAAAAAACCTGTTTGTTCGCATTACATTAATTTCATCATAACCCTACCAACGATCAAAGAAATTTTATCTTTCGTAATATTTGAATTACTAATTCTACATGTAGCAGACCTAGTGGTGAGTTATTTATTGAGGTGAACAAAGATGTCATTTTTTAATTTTATAAAAGTTTTCTTGATAATGATAGGAGAACATACATATTATTATTATATCATTTTTATTATAAATGCGCAACAGTATTTATTATCAAATGATGATTAAATAATAGTCTTTTATTATTGATTGATAATTATTTTTTATTATATTAAATCATTTTTATTAATTCCAATTAATCGGTTTAGCAACTAACACTAAGAGTAAATTTTTTTCAACAGGTTTACGAGCGAGAACGCAAAGTGAGATTTTGCTTTTTACGTATTACACATTCACACAATCAAATTCGAAACATATAAATAGGACACACCAACAACGAACATAAAGATATGTCTCTCAGGTCTTTAGTGCAAGGAACTCAATATTTCTACATTCGGCCACGACATCCATGTCCACTTTCAAGCAATCAAGATAAAACTCGAGTTTACAGCTATGTGAGCACAACGTTATACCAAATAGTCTAATTTATACATAACAACTAGTAAATATTTAAGCCAACAATATATATTTTTATTTAATGTTATTAAATAATACATTGGTAGATGATAACAGAATAAAATAAAAATAATAACATTAAATTATTTGAAAAACTTCGAATTCATCAAATTCATCATTGTCTACTATGTTGATGTTATTATAAGCAACATTTTTACCACCAACTCTACCATATGCATTAAAATAAAGATCACAGCCACTACCAAAACCAAGAAAATTAGTTTTACAATAAATTGCATATTTACTTTTGACAACATAACTAAATTGTGCAGTGCTAATATCATTTCTATCACTAATATTAAAAATAAAGCTTTCAGTTGTATTTTTATATACACCAGTTCCATTCCAACTAAGTGGGTTATATCCACCAACTATTTGCTCTGAATTTCGTATTTTGCCAACTACAAGAGTTTTGTTGATATTACCACAATTTTGATGAAATATTTCTCCGTCAAAACCATCTCTAGTGCTATGATATAGAAGTTTAAATTCATATTTGACTTCTTTGAATGAGATATATGGTGGGCTTTTTCTATCAATCCAACTTGCAAAAAGCAATGTAAGATTTTGGTTGATTGTCAATGATTCAAGTGTTGAATTCAATTTTAAAATTCTTGATGGTAATAAATTCAATGTTTGTTGACTATCAGGAAACATATGATATTGTAAAAGGGCTTTCCATAAAGTTCTAGGAAGTAGCATATGATATGGTTCAATATTATCAACAAAATCCTTTTTAGAGATATCCTGAAATCTTATTAGAGAAAAAAACTCTTTTAATGTGTTACCTAAATCAACAAAATTTTGTGATGACCAATCTTCAACATTGATATTATTGATTTCTGGATGTTTTTCCAATCCCCATTTAAGAATGTTTTCCCAAATAACCATCTCTTTAACTGAAAAATCATCTCTTTTGAGAATTTCTAACAGAATTGGTTTTTCCAATGATTTAAATTCATTTGATTCAAATAATTTTTCACTATATTCACAAAATTTTTCTAAATAGATTTTTTTAAATTCTTTAAATTTTTCATTGGCATAAATTAATTGTAAAATTTTAACTGAATTTTCTTTTATATAATCTTCATAATTGTCAATAAAACATTTCATCGTATATTCATAAAGTGACTCAATACCAAGTTCATCTGCTGAAGTTAACAGTTCTAATATTTCATCTCCAGAATAATTTTCAAATTCAAATTTACATGTGTATAAAAATCTTACAAAATAAATAAAATATTAACCAGATTATTATCATTATTATACATGTATACTCAATAATAACAAACAAATAAATAAATAATTAGTTTGAGCTTACTTGAGAATAGATTTGAAACATTTTTCACTAATATTAATTTTCTTAATAATATAATATCCATTTTCTTTTGTTGCATTACTTAATGCATTGCTAAAAAATGGACAATGAGCTGATATGATAGATGCATGTGCATGAACTTCTTTAGTGTTTGGTTCTACACCAACATATATTTTTACATCATAAAAATCTTCTGTATTTAATAATCTTTTGTTCTCATTAAAATATTTTTCAAATATTGAATTCATTTTTATTTTTTTTTTCAAAAATTTGTTTCGGTTACAATTAAATCCTAAAAAAGGTATCTCTAAATAACAAAATTAACAAGTATGGGCTGTTCCCGCATTTTTTCGCGACACCAACAATATAAAGATATTTCTCTCAGGTCATTTGGTGCAAGAAACTCGCTCAACCTTCCACATTCGACCGCGACGTCCAGGAAATCAAGATAAAACTCGAGCTTACGAATGATATATACAAGTGATATCTTGCCGATCAATTCAAAAAAAATTTTTTTATTGATCTCAATGAGAAATGTACCAACACTAATCAACGCTTAGCTGATTTCCCTTAAACCTTTTTGACCCAGGCAACTCAATCTTCTATATTCAGCAAGTCCACCTTTAAACAGTAAAAATCGAAATACAATGTATTTATTCGTTTCGATTAGTGCACATTGAAAGTGTGGGATCCTAAACAGATCGCAAAGATAAAAACTTGAAGGTACAAAGACCGATGATTCATGACTATCAAATGAATATTATATTAAGAAGTTAAGTATATTTGTAATAACTCAAATTTAATTTTTTTTTGTTTGAAAGTAATGATAGTCGATTAATCTCAAACACACAACTTTTTTTTCAAAGACCTTTTTTTTTATTCAATAACTTATTTGGCAAACAAAGGAAGGGGGTTAACTTGTGTCAACATGTAGCTCAGACCAAATATTTGTTAATTTACCACCTTTCAATAACAATCATCAAATCATTCATTCAAAAAACGAATCATGTTTATTTAAAAAATAAAAATAAACTGATTCAAGCAAGCTTCTTTGTCAATATCGCGATCCATATCCTGAACCTCTACATTCTCCCCATGGTTTTCAACTGAGAGATCTTCTTTATCTACATTGGCGCTTTTCCCTTGTTGTTCATCTGATCCATCGCATTGATTGATGTTTCTGATCTCGATACATTTAGAAGTATCAAGGCACGTTTTTTTGTTAGCTGCTTCTTCCTTATCGCATTGTGCTCGTGGTGGTCTTTTATTCGACGAGCTGCATGACGAGTTTGATGATGACAATGTTACGTTCGACGGTACTGAGAATTACGACGATGATATTGACAATGTTGATTTTTTTTTGCTGATGATCAGTTGTTCGAACCTTAACAAATCATTATTCTTTCGATTGTTGAGGCTTTGCTTTATGCCGAGCTGGGTAAGACCACTTAATCTCGCCATAGATAATTTCTTTCTCACGAAGAGTTCCTCCGCTACCGAGAAGATCGCAGACGACTTTGTTTCTACAGTTACAGCCGAATGCCTACGCAAAGAAAAATATCATTTGACGCACGTTTAACAAATATATATTAATTAATATACTGTACATACACATCATCGTATGTTGGTAAAATGAACGATCATAAAAAAAATTCTCACGACCCAACGTTAAGGAACCTTCCAACCATCAACATGAACGCCGAAATGCATTAAAGTTTAACTCTTCATTGTTCGCCCTGTTATATGCAACACTCATGCAAATTTTCTCGCCACTCACACCATCTTGACAGTGATATAATAGAAGCTATTCTTTTGAAAACAATTTATTTGTATGATAGATTATTTTAAAAAAAATTTTTAGAAAAGCAGCCTCAGGTACATGTCACACGACTATTGCTATGTAGATCCTTTCCTTTACTGATGGATCACGAATTAATACTTTAGTCAAGTCATGTTGGCTAAACCTTAGGATTACGCGGCCACGATAGTTTTCTTAATATCTGATGTTGAGAAATAACAAAATAGCAATAACAACAACAACAATAATAACAACAACAATAGTAATATTAATAGCAATAACAACAACAACAATAACAATAATGCAAATAATAAATGTCTTCAACAACAAAGCTAGCTTTAATAAACCAACGCCTAACAAAAGTATTGGAAGAGAGAGACTAAGAGCTCTCGAATTTAGTGAGTTGTATATATGTTACAACATGCAAAGGTTCTGTTACTATTAATTATAAACCACCAACGATCTACAAACCAGTAAACTTTGGGTTACCTGCCTGTTATAAAGATTTGTAAGCTCTTCAGCATCAACAAACAACAATATAAGACCTACCAAGTAGTAAATAAAATATATACTTGTATAGTACTATTAGTTTTGTTTTATTTATTATCAAATTATTTAATACATAATATAGGAAGAGGTCAGATTACTAGTTGGTGTCAGGAAGTCCAAATTAGATGGTGCTTTGTTAAACAAGATAACTCGGAAGGTAACAATATAATCTTTGTGTAACTCCAGACTTTTAGTTAACTTAATTAACAGTTCCATGAAAGAAACCTAGATATTTATTGCAGAGAAGGAAGATGGCTTATTGAATATTTAACAAAGAAAATGTTCAGCATTGCAGTAGGAGAATTGATTTTTTATTCGAATTGCTATTATTTTCTTTGTTATGTCTAAACTGATTTTTTTTTTTACAAATAATAATAATAAAATGGGATGCTGTTAACAGAAAATCAAAAAAAAACAAAACATTGATAATAGTAATAAAATCATCAGCAGCAATAATAATAATAACAACAAAAATAATTTATCACCAATTTAAAATGCAGCACAGTAGGAAAATTTAATTCATTTAATAAAATTTATTATTTAAATTATCTGATCAAACATGTGTTGTTAAACCTATAAACATTAGATCCAGGTTCAAATTCAAAGATTAACTTGTTTTTAATTATATTATTCATATGTATAGACATGTGTTTTTTTTATTACTAAATCATAATAAATAAAATTTTCTAATTCAGTACAAATTTAGTCTTTACCAATTCCATACTAATACTTTTTAGTATTAATACAATTCTATCAGTGCCAACTCCGTACCTTTTTAGTAAAACGTATTAGTCACAGGACATGTCACATCAATTGATTTTCTATATCAGTCAGGGAA